AAACTGAAGTACAGAGAGGTTAAGTAACTTGCCTAGAGTCTCACCAATAGTAAGTGGTGGTGCCAGGGTTTGAACCCAGGCAGTCTGGCTGTAGAGTAGGTCTGGACGGGAGAGGTAGCCAGGGAATAACTGGAGGCCCCACCTCCTTCCTGCAGATGGACAGATGGCCTGGCCAATGAGGGCCCAGCTTACCTGGGCCCTGGCCAGTGAGGCTGCAAGCTCCCTCTCCCTCTCTCCCTGTGGTTATTAGGATAACTAGTTGGCCCCAGCACAGAAGAGGACCTGGACCCATCGGGAGCTGCTGTATTTATGTGGGGAAGGCAACAGGGGCTGGGAGAATTCGGGGCTGGAAGAAACCCAGAGAGGACCTCTGACCTTGCCCTGGCCTCTTAGGATGGGGAGCACCACCCTCTCTCCCTTCCTCCAGGAGAGCTGAACTGTCCCCTGCCACCAGCTAACGCTCCTCACAGTGGTGAGTTTGCCTCTGTGGTGAAGGAGAGGAGGCGACAGCATCTACAGCACAGGTAGTTGTAGTTTCACAGCATTAAATGACATCGAACCACATAGGGAGAAGGGTATTCCCTTTTCGATTCTCTTTCAGTCCTGATTACATCAAAGAGAAAGTCCCAGTTTGATGCCAATATGTCTTCAAAACATCCCTGTCACTTGCTAAGCTCCCCTTTTTTTTTGTTTGCAAGGGACAGCGGGTTTCAGGCTCAGAGCCTTCCCCAGGCTATAGTTTTCCCACTAGAATTTAATACCCTTATTTGGTTTTCCTATTATGTACTGTCATGATTTTGTTCTATTTATGGCAAGTGATACTGGCTTTCCATTTATGGCGGTGATATAAAGTTTCCTTTTAAAATCTATTTACTTAAGTAAAAGAATGAGTAGGTTTAAAGAAAAAAATAAGTACATATGATAGGCAGATACTGCAGAAATCCCACACGTGATGAACAAGTGACCAAAGCTCGAGAAACATCATCATGGAACTACCCTTCAGAAGGGCGTGTCAGCCTCGCTGAGACCATGTCACCCAGCCTGCCCTGGGCTCAGATGATGGGGGAGCGTGTGTTCGTGGTCACAGTGGTAGTTCACAGTGAGTGAACAGCAGAGGCAGGACTTGACCCCAGGTCCCCAGGGGAAATAGAATCCCATGTAGAAAGGTTAAAGATCTGTGCTCACTTGGTCAGCAGCAGAGCAGCTTCATGACTGAATTACTGACGGGCACGGTGGTACCATTGTCTCTCTCTGGGGATCGTCAGCCAAAGTAAATAGGCTGAATGTAAGGATCAGTTGCAAGAAAGACCCCACTGACTCAAGCAAATCCTGGGCCCAGCTTGCCTTGAAGTTGCAAAGTCCCCATGTCTGGGGAACTTTAAGAAGAGAATCTACAGACACCTCCATGGACATTCAGACTGGGCCTGTAGGTGCTACAGGTGGCTGGGCCCAGCCTTTGCGTCCTTCAGACCTCCAGGATTCTAGAGAGTCCTGTCCCAGTGAAACCAGTCAGTGTCTTCCCACACCGTGGGCACTCCACAGGGCCCTGTAGGCAGCAAGGAGCTCAGATGGAGAACCAATGGCATGTGGCTTCCAGAAACAACAGCATAATACTATGCAGCATGCACCAGGTGCCAGGCTCTGTGTTGTGTTTGTGACTGGCTCTTCACAGCAGCCCTCTGAGGGAGGTGCTGTCATCACCCCAATTTGACAGATGAGGGAACTTGCTCAGGGATGATGAGTAACTTGCCCAAAGTCACAGAGCAGTAAATGGCCATCTTGGGATTTGAACATAGGTCTGACTGACTCCCAAAGCCAGACTGTGAAATAACAGGGTTGTACCGGAAGCCCTGGCACATGGGACACACAACTCCAGGTCCCCTGCTTCACAGTTCCCACACAGGGTGCCATCAGGAAGGCCTTGGGGTGCCAGTGCTGCTGCTGAGGGGATCTGAGCATCCCTCGGAAGCTGCATTGCCACTCCCTGGCTCACCTTCCCCTGGGGAGGCCACACTGTTCCTGGATGAATAGTTGGCCTAAAACCTGGGGCCTCAAGCTCAGTGTGTGGGGCTTAGTCAAGGTTGGTTGAAGGGGTCACTGCCAACAGACCAGATGGGCGCCGAGGACCCCTTCCTTGCTCTCTTCTTACCCTCAGTCTGCTTGGGCCTTAGCCTCATATGTGTATGCCTATAGGAAGGTGGCCTCTGTGGCTTCCCAGCAGTGCACCTCCCACCTGGTCACCCTCTCCTAAGGAGGTCACGCCCCAGCCAGGACCCCTTGCCCTACTTGGGGGGAAACAGGAGCAACCAGCCCAGCTCAGCAAGGGGCTCCCCAGTATCGCTGGGTGCCCCTGGCATTGGATAGATGCCCCCTCATGCCCCTGGGCTGGCCTCCAGGTCATTTCTCTCCACCCCAGGTCATGGATTTCCTAAGAGCTGGACATTGCTGTGTCAGAGGCTTGCGCCACTGGGTTACTCAACAAGGCCCTGCAGCCTGTTTATCATGAAGGGCAAGATGAGGTCTCCCCTTCCTAGCCCCAGTGTGCCTCCATGTGCTAGTCCCAGAGTTTGGGACTCCTGGGTCAGCCTATGAGGACACGGCAAGGACAACAACTTCCACAGGTCCTAGGAATGCCAGCCAATAGGGGAAGAAGAGGCTCTGCCACCCTTGGGGTTTGCTGGGTCCTGGCTCCCTACGTGCCTCCCTCCACCCCTCTCACGCTGAGTCAGGCCCAGGAAAGGGTATCTGCAACTTTGCCTGTGCTCCTGAGCACCCTGCTCACCACCACCATTCTCCTTGGTGCCGGCCCACCCTCCAGACCTAGAGAACAGGCCTGTACCAGCCACCTCCACCTCGCCTTCCCAGGCATGAAGGCTTTGACCTTGAGCAGTCCTGCCCAAGGCAACCCAGCACTTCAGCAGGCCAGTGAGCAGGTCTTTCCAACGCACAGACCCTCCTGATCGTGCTTGTGCCCAGGCCTCCCCTCTGTTATCTCCCTTCTTGCACACTGTACTAGGTGGTAGGATGAATAGTCATTAGCATGCCATATTACAGTTAAGAACTGAGTCCTGGGGGCCAGCCCGGTGGCGCAAGCGGTTAAGTGCTCGCATTCCGCTGTGGCGGCCTGGGGTTTGCCCGTTCGGATCCCAGGGGTGCACTGACGCACTGCTTGGCAAGCCATGCTGTGGCGGCATCCCATATAAAGTGGAGAAAGATGGGCACGGATGTTAGCCCAGGGCCAGTCTTCCTCAGCAAAAAAAAGAGGAGGATTGGCAGATGTTAGTACAGGGCGGATCTCCTCACAAAACAAAACAAAACAAAAAAAGGAATACTGAGTCCCAGAGTAGTTTAAAACTAAGAAAATTCTCCTGGCTCCTTTCGGTAGAAAGCTGCTTCCAGCCCTAATGATCTCCCTGAGCTGGGCCCGGGAAGAGACGGGGTACCAAGCTGTTTGAGGAGCCAAGACCTCTGGGGGTGAAGGCTCCTGACTGTGTAGACACTATGGAGCAAGGGGCTCTGAGCCTCTCTGCTGCTGGCTGCTCTGCAGGCTGGGTCCCGAGGCCCTAGTTCTCTAGAACTGAGTTTCCCAAATTGGGGCCGCTGAATAGAGAGCAGCCGGGGCAGGGGAGGGCAGGGAAGGGGTCAGAAAACAGAAGGGCCTCTAGGGTCACAGTGGGAGGGTGGGCGGGGCAGGTGGTCTGTGGTGGGTGGGGTGCTGGCCCTCCTGCCTGCCACCATCCCCTGCTCCTTCTAGAAGCCATGCCCTGCCATGAGCCACGGCCTTGGTGCTGAGGCTGCGCCCCCCCATTTGGCTGTCATCCTAGGGAGCATCCAGGCTGGGGCTTAGGCAGCTCTGTGAGGTGTGGGCTCCCTCCTCCTTATCAGAGGCCCAGGCCAGCCTCCAACTGCTGAGAGAACATGCTGCCTGCGGGCACCCCAGTCTGTTTCTGAGGTGTTTCCAGGTTCTCTCAGCCTCCTCCTCTTGCTCTTACCCTGTGCTCCCCATCCTACTCCTGACCCACCCATTGGGTCCCTGTGCCAAGCTCCCCGCCTCCCTCCTGCCTCCCTCTGACTTCCTCCATGATTCACACTTTCCCTGGGCCCTCTCCATAAAGTTTAGTTCCACGGGCTGCCTGCCAGCCCCCTCTTCCCTTGAGATCCAGCCGCTTCAATTTTGGGCAGGCAAGAACCAGGGCCAGGCTGTGGGTACCAGACCTCTGCCCTCCCCCCAGGAGCCCCTGTGTCCTCGCTAGGATGCCACCTGGAGTTGTGACAGTCTGGACTTTGGAGAGGACAGTGGCACCTCCCTATGTAAAGCTGCTGTGTTTAAGCTCAGGAAACTGAGGCCAGAAAGATGCTATAAATTATCTGAGGTCTCAGAAGCAGCTCAGGCCAAGCTGGGAAAGTGTCCCACATTCTCCCCAGTGCCCCACACAGGTCCCAGAGCTGCAGCTTTGCTAGGATGCCAGGAATCAGCTGACCACTCAACTCTCAGCCATCAGACCCTCAGGATAGGGACCAGATGGGCACCCAGGTCTGGGAGTAGACCAGTGCCCCCACTGACCAGTGCCCACCAAGGCTCAACCAGGAGTGTTACCAGGGTACAGGGCACTGGCTGAGAGCACCACACCCCCTGCGCCCTGAGAGATCCTGGAGCCCTGAGGCGGGAGGAACAGGGAGATGCCACAGGTGTCAGAAGCCAGCGGCATCCACTGGAACACACTGGGGCTGTCCCCACCGTGTCTATCTCCTTTCTGCAGAAGGTACTCCGGGCTCTCTGGGCAGGGAAGGGTTGGACAGGCAGCTGTCAGAGCATACAGATGTGCCCACTGCCCAGCCAGAGCACTTGGCAGAGACGCTGCCTCCCCCTGCCAAGCGGTCCCAGCAGCCTCCCTGCCGCGGGCGGGGGTCCCGGCAGGCTGAGGGGGCGCGCCCATGTGGCCTCCGACTCCCCTCCCCGCCCGCTGTGTCCCCAGCGCCCAGGCTCCCGCCGACCTTACCTCGGGAGGCAGCCAGGAAGAGAGCCAGGAGCACGGGCCTCCAGCGCCGGCCGCTGGCCTCCGGGGCTCGGGGGACGCCCATGTCGCCGTCGGGCGGAGCGGCGTCTGGCGGAGCCGGGCCGCAGGCGCGCAGGGGAAGTCCTGGTGCTCCGGGAGCGGGCGGAACGCGGCCGGCCACGAAACCTCCGGGCTCGTGAGTGCCGAGCCGTGAGCGCGGTGGGCGCCCGAGAGCCGCCCGCTCGGGGCCCCGCAGCGCCCCCGGGGGGCCGTGGGGGGCACTGCCGCTCCGAGAGCCCCGCGGGAGGGGCTTCCAGGAAGGGGAGCCTGCCGGTGTCCCAGCGAGTCAGCTCCGCTTGGTCGCCGGGTTAAAGCCTTTTCTACTCTCTCGCATTCCTCTTTGGAGAGAATTAGTACTGTTGCACAGCCTGAGAAGTGTACCTACGTCTGATTTAGCACAATACGTAGTCATCACAGATTGTATCTGCCCTCACCCCCCACCTTTGAGTTGCCTCGGGCTGGCACTTGCGCCTAACATCCGTCAGCCCGGCCCGGGGCCAGGGATGCGGTAGGCATTCCCAGTTGTGGAAGGAAGGAAGGAAGGAAGGAAATCTAACTTTTGTAAAGAGCTAGGCAAGTTGGAGCAGGCTTGACTGGAGATTCCAGAGCCTGCAACACTCTTGTGCACGTGCACACACACACAGATGTCGCACAGGTGCAGGAGTACACAACAGGCTTGGCACACCTCTACACTGGGACACGTGTGTGTGCAACATCTGGTAGCGTGTCCCACAGAAAATCCTCAGCGCTCCTCCCCAAGGCCCGAGCTTCACTTCCTGCTTCACCATCTCTCTGTCCCTGTGCCCTGGCTGTCCACAGAACACTCACGCACCCCCGCCTCTAGTCCTCTGCTTTTGCACCCCCGCCGGCACTGCCACCACTGGCGATGTCTCTCTCCTCTCTTCTCCTCCAAATTCTTCTCATCTCTCAGGGCTCAGCTCAAGTCCTTGCCCTTCACAAAGTACCCTGACCGTCCCCTGTGGTCCCTCCTGCAGTCCTTGCTGTCCACACTCCCTTCTGATATCACACCAGGCCTGAGGTTTCTAACCAGTGATCTCCACCTGGGCTCATCTGCCCTCCTGAGCTGGACTATGAGCTTTTGGGGACCAGGGCCTCTCCCTGATGTTTCTGAGTCCCTGGCACAAAACTGGGCATGGAGAAGGTGTTTAATGCACTCTTATCTATTTTTTTTTATTTATTTTTTATTTTTTTTTTAATTTTTCCCCCAAAGCCCCAGTACACAGTTGTCTGTCATAGCTGCACATCCTTCTAGTTGCTGTATGTGGGACGCGGCCTCAGCATGGCTGGAGGAGTGGTGCCTCGGTGCGCACCCGGGATCCGAACCCGGGCCGCTGGCAGCGGAGTGCACGCACTTAACCGCTAAGCCACGGGGCCGGCCCAATGCACTCTTATCTAAATGGACAAACTGATGAATAAGTGATTTCCTAAATGGAGGAGTGGAGGTGACAGTGGCTAGGGCCAGGGACGGGGGACAGGGAGGACATAGCCTTTGTACCCACTTTACTCCGGTGTGACTGAAGCTTCCAGGGGCTTTGTTGGACCATTGGGGATCTTGAGCTCACAGGTGACCCCCAGGCTGAAGGACAGAGGACAGCCAGGGTCTGTCTGGGTCAGGAATCAGGGTAGTGGGACTGAAGGGTAGCCGGGAATTCTAGGTGCCCCATAGGTGGCCTGATCCAAGTCAGAGGCTCTCTGAGAGCTCTCAGCCCTCACTCCTGGGGCAGGGGAGGCTACAACAGACGGAGGATGGGCACCATGCTATCACTAGGTAACCTTGTGCAGGCCCAGTCCTCCTGGAACCAGGGAACACCCCCAGATGGGGGCCCCAGAGACTGCCGGGACATAACCCATGTCCTTGGTCACAATCCTGACCTTGTGAGCCCACTTTGGGAGACAGCCCAAAGCCCTTCCTGCTGGCAGAGTGTGAGTTCTTCCACGTAGAGAAGGTACAAAGCTAACTGAATTCAGGTGGGTACTGGGCCCTCTTCCCACCCTTGCCATCCTCTGGCCGAGGTGAGGTGGGGTCACTCAAGGGTGAGACCCCGGAGCAGCTGCCCACCTCTCCTCCCATTCCTGCCTGGCCTTGCCCAGACTACCCTCAAGACCAGACTGCCTCTGCCCCAGGCCTAGAAGGTGGGTGAGGAGAGCCTCTGATTAGGGGAGGGAAGCAACTACCCTGCCAACCCATCCTCAAAGGGTAGAACACCTGCGCTGGGTCCAGTGCTGCTGCCCCCCGCTTCCTTCCTCCCCACCACTGAGCCCCCTGGGTTTGCATCCGGATGAGACACAGAGGCATTGCCCAAGGTTTGGGCATGGTCCGCAAACCTCAAGCACAGTTTCCTCAACACCAGGGCAGGAAGAGCTCAGCTGAGAGGCCTTTGGGGCACTGACTTCCTCCTCACTCCAGAGGCCAGAGACCTTCCCCTCACAAGCTCAGGCCTGGGCTCCCAGAGAAGGGGCTCTGGGGGCAGCTCCTTTAGAACCCCCACTCCTAGCCCCTGCAGCGTGCAGGATGGTTAACCCACTTCCAGGAGTCTGGGAAAGTGGGAAATGTCAGCACAACACCACCCCCACACTGACCATGGGTGAGGCTGGAATCCAGCCCCTTTCCTGCAAGGCGGTGCTCTTGTGCTATTGCTGGTGGAAAGGAGGCTCAGGAGGGCTCGGTGCTGGGCTCCTCGCCCATGGTGAGTGCTCACAGCTGCACCCAGGACAGTGCGGAGCCACGGGATGAGCACCGTGGCCTTCTCGACAATCATCTTGACTCAAACATTGGGGTCCCCCACCACTATTTTTAATGAAAACTAAAATACATTATGAAGAAGATTTTATGATCTATATGAGCTTTGAAAGATGATACGAGAGATTTCAAAGAGATTTCATTCTTGAGGCAAACACTTCAGGCTGTTCCCCAGACTCAGTGCAAGTTCCCTCGCCACTCCGGTGGCAAAGTTTGAGAAATGTCAAAATAATGCATTTTCCCTCTCTGTGTGATAGTTATTTTCGTAAAGATTCATTGAGACTCTAAGACCCAAGGAATGCCTCCCGGGTGGGGGGATTTAGTCCAGGTGACTGATGGCAGCAGACCAGAACCCCAGAATGTCTGAGCCGGAAGGAACTTTAGAGATCAAGGCAGGTCCTTTATTAACAGACAGAAAAGGTCCAGAGAGAAGACGTGGTGTGCCCAAGGTCACAGAGCTCCATCTCAAGACTGCCCACTCTGCCTGCTTTGGAAACAGTTTCAGCAACCCCCAACCCCTCAACCCCGCTTCCAGATCCAACCAGGCTTGGCTACAGCTGAGAGGACTCATCACCTCCTCAGGGACAATGACAGTCTTCTTAAGTCCAGGTCTCCTGCCCATCCATCCATCCCTCCACAGGTGGCTCCAGAGCCAGCCAGGCCCAAGGAAGAAGGTATACAAAAGTTGTTTACATCCAGCGTTTCGCACCGCCTGCCCTCTGTTCTCTGCCCTCAGCAATGGCCTAAGCACATTCTCTCTACCCAGCCATCTTTGCAGTTGTCATAACCTTATTGTTTTTTATTAGTCACTAATTATGGTTTGTATGAGTCAGGGTTCTGGCAGGAAACAGATGGCACCCTCAGAAGGCTCAACTGAAGCAAGTTTAATGGGGGGACAGTTTACAGAGGGCTGGTGAGGCACCCGTAGACTAGCAACTGCAGGAAGCCGTTACCACCCAGGGGTCCACAGGACAGAGGAGGAAGGGAGGTGACTGGAGCCCAGTGAGAGCTGGAGCTGTGACCTGGGGCGCCCAGCAGGAGAGAAGCAACCAGTGGCAGAACTGCAGTGAGGAAAGGAGGGGGTGCGGAAGAGACACCGCCACCTCTCCCTCTTCCCTCCGCCTGTCTTCTGCCGGGGCCTCCAATTGGCCAAACCCATCTGGAAGCCAGAGGGCCGGGGAGCCCAGGTGAGGCAGTCCACAGGGGGCATCCTCCCAGGTGGAGAGGCAGAGAACGGAGGAGGGTGGCAGCGCGAGGGACAGAGCATACCAGCACGTGGCTGATTTTCTTTATCTCCTCTGCTTGTGAAGTGCCACATCCACCATTTCTTGGTGGTTCTTGAGTACTGATCTCTGAGTTCCAATTGCCTGAATATTACGTGCAGTCCGACTGGACCAAGCATCAGCCAGAAATGGCCAATCACAGGAGAACATATTGCAGAAGTGGTGTTCTTTGAGCTTTATTTTTCACAGCTCAACAGCCCATGAAATTGCCCCAAACCCAATGTCCTCCCTCTTAAAAATGCTAAAAATGGGTATTTCTTCCATTTACATGAATAATGGGTGAAGCTTAAATGCTATGTTAGGCTGAGTACATCACATTCTTGCCTTTTGTGATCTGGCAGGACGCCCAGGGTCACTAAAACCCTGGCCCCGGCAAAGCTATGGCCTGGAGGTGGTTATTGGGGTTCATCTCATATGCCAATTTTAATCACTAGGTCTCTGCTGACAAGGACCCTGAGGTTGCATCTGGGCTCAGCAGTGCCATAATTGATTACTGATGTCTGCCATGGGCATGGACACTGGTGGTACAGGTGCCAACTGCTAAGCAGTTACCAGGCTTGGCTTTTGCTGGAGCCTCTGTGATTCCCTCCTCTACCAACCTGTGACTTCCCTCCCTCTCATCCTCCTCCCTTTCCCTCACCATGTTGGATCACACTGAGTGAGTTCAGCCTAGGAGAACATCCAACTCAACCCCTCTAACCAGTTGACCGAGGAACCTGACCACCTCCTTCTCCACAGGCCACCACTCACGTGTACGTGACCATCGTGGACGAGAATGATAACGCGCCCGTGTTCCAGCAGCCCCACTACGAGATCTTACTGGATGAGGGCCCGGATACCATCAATGCCAGCCTCATCACCATCCAGGCGCTGGACCTGGACGAAGGGCCCAATGGCACAATTACCTATGCCATTGTCGCAGGCAACATCATTAACACCTTCCGTATCGACAGACACACGGTCAGCAGCTGACGGCAGGGTCCAGGAGGAGGGTCAGCTGGCTAAAGGGATTGGAGGGGAGCTCAGTGACATCATGGGGGTGGGGGCAGAGCAAAAGTGGAGTCTGGGAGGAAACTGGGGGAGCAGCCAGTCAGGAGGA